ACCATGGATGGCCAAAAAGACAAACAAATAGGTCCTTGAACAGATCAAGCCTGAACTCTCCCTGGAAGTGAAGATGATTAGACTGAGGCTGTTGGACTTCGGACATATCATGAGAAGGCATGAATAACTGGAAAAGGCAATAATGCTAGGAAAGTTATAAGACAGAAGAGAGAAAGACCTCATACCAAATGGATAGTCAAGGAGGTCAGGGGTCTGAATTTACAGGACCTAAGCAGAGCAGTGGATGACAAGGGGTCCTGGAGATGTCTCATCTACAAGGTCACCATGAGCTGGGGCCAACCTGAGGGCAGCTAACAACAACAACATAGTGTAGGTCAGGAGTGGGTACATGTGGAAGGCTATGGGGCCCACATTGGCCCACCTTGGAGAGCTGCACCTTTTTGCAACATCCACTCACATTGGGGGGCATAATGCATTTTTATCATGTTTGGCCCAGGAAAGGCCTTTATTAACAACAGGAACCAAACAGTAGAATGGCATTAATGAAGAACCAGAACCCTACTCCCTCCCCAGTACATACATACCATGCAGCAGACCTTGTTCCTGCATCCAGAATCCAAAAATCAAATGGACAGGTATAGGACTGGGGATAGTTGGCTGGACAGAACTATATGTGAGAAGGACTTTAGGATTATTGATTATTCTAAATTGAACATGAGCCAACAGTTAAGAAGGCAAATGCTACCAAGTCTGCATTCATAGAACCATACTTTCCAAGTCAAGGGGAGAAATAGGCCCACTGTATTGTGTGCTAGTCAAGCTTCATCTGGAATACTATGTTCAGTTCTAGGTTCTTCATTTTAAGAAGAATATAGACAAGTTTGGGCAGGTTCACAGTAGGGCAACAAGGATTATAAAAGGCATTGAGAACAAAACATATGAACAAAACAATTTTTGTATAGGTTATTGCTGTGGGTGTGCCTTCAACTCATTTCTGACTTATGGCCATTGCCTTTCTTGGAAGCTGAGAGAGTATGACTTGCCCAAATTCACTCAGAGGGTTTCCATGGCCAAGCGTGGATTCAAACCGTGGTTTCCCATAAATCCAACATTCAAACCATTATACCATACAGGCTTAGTGGATAGATTATACCGCTCATCCCACCAAAAGACATCAGAAACCTCATGTTATTCCCTCCAGCTACTTCCTTATTTGTTTTTCTGCCGACTGAAAACCCAGAGCACCGCCCCAATTTTAACAAAGCATTTGACTGCATTGTCTGCAGCACTTGGTGCTCCCTGTACCATCTCCCTCTGCAAACTAGATTCAGTTTAAAGTCTTCAAACAGAATCACAGAATCATGGAGTTGGAAGAGACCTCAAAGGCCATCCAGTCCAATCCCCTGTCATGCAAGAAACAATCAATGCACCCCTGACAAATGGCCATCTAGCCTGTTTAAAATTCTCCAAAGAAGGAGACTCTACCACTCTCCTAGGCAGTGTATTCCACTGTCAAACAGCCCTTACTGTCAGGAAGTTCTTCCTAATGTTGAGGCGGAATCTCTTTTCCTGTAGTTTGAACCATTGCTCCGGGCCCTAGTCTTTGGAGCAGCAGAAAACAAGCTTGGTCTTTCTTCCATATGGTGTCCTTTCAAAATTTTAAACATGGCTATTATGTCACAGGCTAAATATACCCACCTTCCTAAGCCTGCTCCTCACAAGGCATGGTTTTACCATTTTGTTCACCCTCCTTTAGACATGCTCCAGTTTATCAACATTCTTCTTGAATTGTTGCCCAGAACTTGGCACAGTAGTCAAAGTGAGGTCTGATCAAAGCAGACTATAATGCACTATTACTTCCCTCAATCCAGACACTACACTCCAATTGATGCAGCCTATAACTGCATTGACTCTGGCATCCATAGTTTTTGTGGGTTTTTTGAGCTATGTGGCTGTGTTCAAGAAGAGTTTATTCCTGACGTTTTGCCAGCATCTGTGGTTGGCATCCAAGTTATTGATGAAGATGTTAAGTAGCCCTGGGCCCAGGACAGAACCCTGTGACACTCCACTAGTTATATCTCTCCAGGATGAAGAGGAGCCATTGCTGAGCACCTTTATCTTCCTGATATGGTTTGGTAGTAGACTCCTAACAAACATGTTCTTTCCAGCCACTGTGAAGTGTAACTCACCTCTTGCCAAAAGTCCCTCTTCATTGAACAACACGTCATGGTCAAAGAAGCCAAATCTTTCCATTTGTTGAGCCACTTGTTCACTCTCAGTATTCTTCTCCCTCTCCTTAGGCCAAGATCTTCAACACAGAGAAGTGATGAAATAACTCATATAGAGGGTTCTACAAGAGATAGCCAGCCCATGTTCTTTACTGGCCAGACCCACTAGCTCCCACTGAACACCAAGTCAGAGCTCTGAGAAGTTACTTTTTTGAAAGATGGCTGGGGGATTCTGGGAATTGTGATTCAAAAAGGTAGATCAGAGGTAGGCAACCTTTCCCCTTTAAGGGCCGAGGGACTTCAACTCCCAGAATCCCAGGAGCTATTGGCCAACATGGGACTATTGGCCACCATGGCTGAGGCTTCTGGGAGCTGAAGTCACTTGGCCCTTAAAGGGGAAAGGTTGCCTACCCCTGAGGTAGATTTTCCAAGCACTGAACATAGACAGAATCAACCTCCCTTTGTGGCAGCAGTTTGCAAGGGAAAGTAATCTATCTTTCAGGGAAGCTTAGTTTTGTTGATTGATCTCCCCGTTGAGGACTCTCGAGGGTTCCCTAAAACACAGTTGGAAAACCACCGCTGTAGCCCATGCACTTAACTTGGCTGTCATTTAAAGGAGAACCAAATACAATATTTCATTTAAACTCTTCCCCCTCCCACTGAGCAGCAGAATTATGCCCTGAAACTAGTGTTCTAGGGGAAAAAATGAAAACACCCTGAGAAAGCTGAGAAAATCCCAAATAGTATTTTGCTTGGCAGTCAGCCCAACGTTTGTAGTCAAAGTGAGTGTTCCATGGATGTGTTTCCCATTAAAAAAAATTTACTGGTTAAACTTCATTCATCCAAGACACACACACACAAAAGAGACAATTCAATGGCTTTATCAGTTTGAACTGAACATCATTCAATTTCTTGGCTCAATTTGCCCTTAGATTATAGTTTCATGGAGAGTAGTCATAACAACCTGACTTCAAGATTAACCAGATATTTCCCACTCTTGTCTGTGTTCTTCCAGAATCACATTGGAAGGCAATGGAAAGATCCAGGATGGTGGTAAGGGGAAAGGAGGTGGCAGGGGGACCTTCAGTTAAAGCATTGGTGCTCAAGAAAGACAAGGGGAACCAGCATCCTTTAAGACCATTGTGGGGCTGGGGATTAGATGAAACATCTCTTTTCAAGGTCTCTTAAAACTATTGCACAGCCCCATTGACTGCAAAGGCCAGCACAGGTGAGAGGCTTCTTGGTCATTGCTCAGTCACAATGCTCAGCTGCTGCTCAGTTGCTGCTCCCAGGCTAACTGGGTGCAAAGGGAGTAGCAACCAAGATTGGTTGTTCTGAATTTCAATAGAGTAGTAGAACCTAATATCAAGAAATAGGTGTAGGGAGATGCTAGAGGAAAGGGAGTGTTAGCCTAAGATGATTTGGGGATCACTGGGTTAGAGTGGATGCCTGGGATTTGGGAGATCCAGATTTATGTCCTAGCAAAGCCATGGATTTCACTGTGTTGAGGGCAGAGATATATGTAAAAGCGGAGGCAAAATGAGCCATTGCCCCCCATGAGGTTTCTGCCTATATCAAATGAAATTCTGTTGAGTCCTCAGACTTCTAGCACTACAGCGAATGAAACACTGAAAGTCATTCACACCTAAAACTCTTACATTTCTGTGTTCTCATTCCCTTGGCAACTGCCTGCTTTTTCTTTTGGCTGCCCAAACTCTTTTTCTAAATGTTCAATTGAAGTTTTAAGTTAGTGCAATGTTAAAAATTTGGTGACTGAAGGAAAAATTCATTGGGCAGGAAGAACTTTTATTTGGGGAGCAGGACTCTTGGGTAGTTTTAGATCCAGCGTAGTGTACTAGTTTGAGCTTTGGACTATGACTCTAGAGACCAGCATTTGATTCCCCGTTCAGCTATGGAAACCACAGGGTGATCCTGTGTGTGTCACACACTTTCAGCCCTAGAAAACCCTGTGATAGGATCATATTTGGGTTGCTATAAATCAGAAATGACTTGAAGACACACAGCAGCAACAACACAACCCTTTGTTTTGTTCTCTCCCCTGTACCTGCATCCCTTTGTTAGTCTGCACTGGTCATTCTCTTTCTTAATCTGACCTACCTCACAGGATTGTTGTGAAGAGAAAGTGGAGGCAGTGGCGAACCATGTACCTCATTGAGATAAATGTATAATATAAATGTAGCAAGTATTTAAATAGATATTCATACTTAACAGGATTAGGTACCACCAAACTCAGTGGACCTTATTTCTGAATAAATAAGTGTAGGCTCGACCTCTACATGTCTCTCTTAAAAAAAAAAATTGTTTGAATGGAATTATATGCATAGTTACCTGGAAATAAGCCTCACTAAACAGAATGGGACTCAGGAGAAAGGATGCAAAGGGATGAACTGTTAACCCAGACTATCCAAGGGTAACTCTTTCAACCTTGCTATGGACACACAGACCATACTACCTCTGTGACTGAAAATCCCTGTTTGGGATTTTTAATTCATGTGAATCTTATTTAACATGGAGCCCTTTGGAAAGAAAACCAGGATGACCATCTAAGAGGAAGGGTGTCCTCTACTAACCTGAACTAGAAGTGGAGCAACCCTCTCAAAAATATGCCAGTGAATACAATGGTATCTGCAGTTGTTTTCATCACGTGCCTTTGTTGTTTCCAACTTAGGTGACCCTAAGCTGACACTATGATAGGATTTTCTTAGCATGATTTGTTCAGAGGGTGTTTGCTTTTGCCTTCTTCTGAAGCTTAGAGCATGTGACTTGCCAAGGTCACCCAGCAGATTTCCATGGCCAAGCAGGAATTTGAACTCTGAACTCCTGGCATTCTAGTCCAACACTCAAACCACTATGCCACATTGGCTTGGTATCTGTAGACACTACTGGGTTTACATGCTGTACCTTTTTTAAAAAGAGTGCTTCCATCCATGTGCATGCACACAGCTTCCCTTTAAGGAAGTGACACATACTAAATCAAATAATTGGCCAACAGAGAACATTGTGGTGATACTGGACTCACAAGAACTTTACAAACCCTACCATACTTGGATACAGTAATTCACAATGGGGAAAAGATCCAAATGTTGTTGTACTTCAGATTTCACAAGTCTCAGCCACCATTTTATGACCAATGATCAGTGATTCTGTGGATGGGATTCTACATTGTTTAGGGGAAACATAATGCCCAGTATCACTCCTTCCCTGGAAGGTGCCAGAGCATATTGCTTGTTGTTATAGTGCCCCTTCAAGTCATTTCCAATTTAATGGCAACCCTACAGCCATCCTATCACAGGATTTTATTGCCACATTTCTTCAGATGAGGTTTACTTTGCCATCCTGAGACTGAGAGAGTGTGACTATCCCAAGAACCCAGTGAGTTTCCACAGCCAAGTGGAGATTTGAATCCTGGTCTCCAGAGTCATAGTGCAACATTTAAACTACACCACGCTGGCTTTCAGAGCATACTACTATAACCATTTATTGGCATAAAGTCCATAGGAGATGCATGGCAAGTGTCTGGCTGCAGATCTGCAACTGGGAGAAGCAAGTTAAAATTGCCCTCCCATATGTTTTAGACTTCAACTCCCAGAAGTTGCAGACAGCATGGGCAATGGTATAGGATTAAAGGAGATGTTACCCAAAATATTTAGAGGGCCTAAATCTTCTGGTGTTTACTTTGAGCTCTATCTTCTGGTCCTCTATTTTATTTCAGTTGGGAAGCCATAGCCCATGACTTCACTGGCATGTCAGGTTCTTCAGTATATCATTCCATATGTTGTTGCATGTGAAACTACACATGGCATGCATCTGGCCTATTCTTGAACACAGAAAGAAAGAAAGAGAGAGAGAGAGAGAGAGAGAGAGAGAGACTCTTGAGTTGAAAGAGACAGAATGAGTGACACAGAAGCAGGGCCTGTATTCTCACCTGTACTTTTCTGGACTTTAGCATGAGCCTGAATTTTTAAAAATCAAGAATCATCCACCTTAACTGGGAGAAAGATGCTGGACAATATGAGTCATTGGAATAACTCGGTAAATCTCCTCAGTTGTTGTATCATTAAAGTGTTTTCTTTTTCTCACACTTATGTACACAACTGTCATGAAATCCCCTGACTTAGCCAGTTCCCCCTTGTGCTAAAACAATTTTCTGATTAATTTCAAATATTTTGTCAAGAGCCATCGTTTATTTTTCTCAAGGCCTCCATAACTTTATTACACATGCAAATGATTTTAGCAGAGTTCTTCAGGCCAGCAACAGAGAAAACTAAGCATTTATTGGAAGCCTGCCTTTTCTGGCAGTAAGTTACAAATGGCTATTATTTCACACCACTAGGGAAATGGCATAATCAAGAGGTACGATATACAAAATCAGTTTCTTCCTTTGGCAGTCAGTGAAATGCACCAAAGCATCACACTCCAGATCTTGGCAATTATTGTTCTGAGAAGTGTGTGAAACATAGGAGCTTATCGCACCACTAAAAAACCCAGCTTACCTCTCCTGAGTTGAAATCTAATTTGGGAAGCAGCCAGGTCCTATCGCATGAGTTTTGCCTCTGAATCTGCCTGCCAAATACAGCCCGGCTGC